CTCCAAAAATTCCGAAAATTCAGAAATTTACAAATTTAGTTCGAATACAAAATTGGAAACTAAAAACGAAGGAAGCAAGAAAATTTGAAACAATGCCGAATAAATTGAAAGGCAGCGTATTTGCTTACGCGACGAAAACGAAAGGTATTGCGACAAATGGGAACAAATCAGCTTCTCCTTTACTTTTACCCGCGAATACAGCAATTTTGATGGTGGGAAAAAATTCCGGACACGAAATCGATCTTGACGTAACGAATTCGTGAATAATTTCTTGGTTTACGAGTGAAAAATGTGTGAAATAATTCAAATACTGTCAAAAATGCACTGGGTGAGTCAAAAGTTTCACTTATTATATTCCAAACACATTTTAAATTACAATTTTGATATATTTGGTATCTTTTAATTATAAACCTAGTTATTGATTGAATAATTTATTAACTTATTTTAATTTTCAAATATTTTTTAAATTATAAATCCAGTTATTGATTGAATAATATATTGACTTGTTTTAATTTTCAAATATTTTTTCAATTATAAACTCAGTTACTGATTGAATAATATACTGACTTGTTTTAATTTTTAATACTTTTTTAATCATAAACGAAGTTACTAATTAAATAATACATTGATTTGTTTTAATTTCTAAAAGTGTTTAAATCGTAAACAAAATTATTGATTAAATAATACACTGACCTGTTTTAATTGTGAAATATTTGTTTAATAATAAACCCAGTTACTGATTAAATAACATAATTAAATTATTTCAATTTCCAAATATCTTTGAACTATAAACACAGTAATTAATTAAATAACGTACTGAATTGTTATAATTTCATTTATTACTATCCATCATATTACTGCCTTAAAATAAACCATGATCAATTTATTTTTGACGGTTAATTAATAATTAATGGGACAAGGCAGACGTGTGCGAGTCCCTTTAGATTTAGAATCAAATAATTAATATTGATGAAGCCGTATTAAATGTCTGTTGGTAGGCTCTGTCGATTTTATATAATCTGCTGCAACCGATAAATTAACACGCGATAGCTTTCATCTATTGATTATGCTGCTGATACTATTTATAACAATTAAAAAAGAAACAACTTCGTTTACTTTAGTAAAAATTGATCGTGCTATTCGAGTCAGTATTATATATAATTTGGAGTAAAACTTTAATATTAAAAACCACATTTTTACATTAACACATTCGCATTTTATAAGTTTACAAATTTTCAAATTTAAGAAATTTAGGGGATTATAGATTCAAACATTTTTGGAATTTCTAAATTTCTAAATTAATAAAATTTGAAAGTTTGGAGTATTTCAATTATTGAATCTATAAAATTTACAAATTTACAGATTAATAAATTAAGTTTCCACATTTCTAAATCTCTAAAATATCAAATTAACAAATTTCTAAATTTTCAAGTTTTTAAATTTTAAAATTATCAGAGTACACAATTCTTAAATTTCCAGATCCCTACATTCGTATAACCCTGTATCCCTAAATTCCTAGATTCCAAATTCTGTCGAACCCAAATTCCCTAGATTCCAAATTCCAACGTTCCCAAATTCCCTAGATTCCAAATTCCCTCGATCCCAAATTCCATCGATTCCGAATTCCCTAGATTCCAAGTTACATCGATTCCAAATTCTCTAGATTCCAAATTCCCTAGATCCCAAATTCCCTTGATTCCAAATCCCAATGTTCTCAAATTCCCTAGATTCCAAATTCCAACGTTCCGAAATTCCCTAGATTCCAAATTCCCTCGATCCCAAATTCCATCGATTCCGAATTCCCTAGATTCCAAGTTACATCGATTCCAAATTCCAATGTTCTCAAATTCCCTAGATTCCAAATGCCAACGTTCCGAAATTCCCTAGATTCCAAATTCCAACGTTCCCAAATTCCATCGATTCCAAATTCCCTAGATTCCAAGTTACATCGATTCCAAATTCCAATGTTCCCAAATTATCTAGATTCCAAATTCTAGCGTTTCCAAATTCCCTAGATCCCAAATTCCCTTGATTCCAAATCCCAATGTTCTCAAATTCCCTAGATTCCAAATTCCAACGTTCCGAAATTCCCTAGATTCCAAATTCCCTCGATCTCAAATTCTCTAGATCTCCAATTCCAACGTTCCCAAATTCTCTAGATCTCCAATTCCCAAATTCTCTAGATCTGAAATTCCCTAGATCTCCAATTTCCTAATTTTCAAATTCCCTAAATCCCGAATTCCCAAGATCCTAAATTCCATCCATCCCAGATTCCCTGGATCCCCAATTCCCTATATCCCCAATTCCCTATATCCCCAATTCCCTAGATCTCCAATTCCCACATCACCAATTCCCTATATCCCCAATCGCAAATTTCCTAAATTTGCAAAATTTTCATATTCAGAAATTTTTATATCTTTATACTTCTAAATTCTCCAATTTTCGAGTCTTCTACAATTACTCAACATTATTCAAACAAAAATTTGATGCCAAGCATAAAGTATCCTGTTAACATATTTCCTACTAACGAATGTCAACTTTCACCGCTGTAATTAAGGCGTTAGAAGTAATTCCAACGAAAAAGCAATAATTCTACATTTACATCGGAAGGCATCAAGTAGGAAATTAAAACGATCATACACCGAATAAATTAGAATTGCACCGTGTTCTACTATATCGCGCATCTGTTTTCGTCGGGACATTTAACGCGTTAAATTATTCCCGTGCCGTGTACACGATGAATTCATAAATCAAACGGTATTCGGTTGGTCGACGTTAATTTTTGATAAAAGGTGATTCACTAAAAAGTGTGTCACATAGAAGCGTGTGCACAGGTGTTTCGTTGCGTACAATATCAAGCTACGTAGGCTCCGAGATTACGTAAAACGAGGAAGTAACAAACTATAGATATGTTAGTCGTTTTAGCCGTACATCGTGTATCAATATTAACATTGTATCGAAAACAACGGGACGGGAATTATTTTGTTTGGACGTGCAATTTGATTTTTAATCGCGGTTTGGTCGTATCATCGTGACGTCATGATTTATTAATAGGATTAAATTTACTGTAGCAGTTTGAGTTGAACGTGAAATTGAATGGAAAATAAATTAATAAACTGGGATGTGTGTATGACTGTTAATAGCGTTTTAAGCTTGTGGAAATTAAAATTTAATTTTAGTACAAAATTTGAATTTTATTTAAGCACAAAATTTGTATTTAATTTAAGCACAAAATTTGAATTTAATTTAAGTACAAAACTTGAATTTAATTTAAACACAAAATTTGACTTTAATTTAAGTAAAAAATTTGAATTTAATTTAGGCACAAAACTTGAATTTAACTTAAGTAAAAATTTGAATTTACTTTAAGCACGAAACTTGAATTTAATTTAGATATGAAGTTGGAATTGAATTCAAGTGAAAAAATTGAATTTGATTTAGACATAAAATTTGAGTAACAAATAAATTTATTTACAACAAACTTGTCAAACCCGTCGCGGATTCCACAAACAATTGAGTCACAGATTCCACAGACAGAATTAATTAAATTTGAATGAGTATCAAAAGTAAACATACTCGACATATTCCACAAATGCAAAGAATCAAAGTGTGACAGGTTCTATAAGTCAAGATACTCAGATATCAGATAACGTGTGATAAGTCGCACAAATAATTCTCCAAATGTCACAGGTGCCACAAATAAAAAGTGTCAGGTTCTAAAAATAAAGACACTGAAAGTGTCACATGTTCCAAAAATAAAGATAATCAAATGTGATGGGTTGCAAAAATAAAGAAACTCAAATGTGACAAGTTTCAAAAATAAAGAGACTTGAATTGTTGCAGGTTTCAATTAAAAATGATCAAAGTGTGCTAGGTTCCACACATGTGGAAGTACTCAAACCATCATAGGTTCTACAATTAAAAATAATAAAAATGTGCTATGTTCAATAAGTGAAGATACTCAAAGTGTCACATGTTTCAAAAGCAAAACTAATCAACATGTAATAAGTTCCACAAGTAAAGGTACTCAAACTGTCACAGGTTCTACAATTAAAAATGATAAAAATGTGCTATGTTCAATAAGTGAAGATACTCAAAGTATCACATGTTTCAAAAGCAAAAATAACATGTGATAAATTCCATTAAATAAAGCTACTGTGACAGGTTGCACAAATAAGGACACTTAAACTGTCAGCTTCCACAAATAAAAATAAAGCACGTTGCACAAGTAAATAAAAAAATCTGACAAGTTACACAAGATTGTGACATGTTTTATGAATAGCTAACACTGTGACAGGTTCCATAAATTAAGTACTCAACCCCTAGACAGGTTCCATAATTCTAGAACTCAAGGCGAGGTTCCATAAACTCTAAGTGTGACGGGTTCCATAAACTCTAAACCTGACAAGTTCCATAAGACCTCAAAATGTCACAAATTCCATAAGAACTAGAAATGTGATAAGTTCCAATAGGACTCAAAATGTCACAAGTTCCATAAGAACTCGAAATGTGAGAAGTTCCATGAAAAATCAAAATGTGATTAGTTCCATAAGAACGCAAAATGTGATAAGTTCCATAAGAAGTCATAATGTGACAAGTTCCACAAGAACTCAAAATGTCACAAGTTCCATAAGAACCCAAAATGTGAGAAGTTCAATAAGCACCTAAAATGTGAGAAGTTCCATAAAAACCCAAAATGTGATAAGTTCCATAGGAACCCAAAATGTGATAAGTTCCATAAGAAGTCATAATGTAACAAGTTCCACAAGAACTCAAAATGTCACAAGTTCTATAAGAACCCAAAATGTGAGAAGTTCAATAAGCACCTAAAATGTGATAAGTTCCATAAAAATCCAAACTGTGATAAGTTCCATAAGAACCCAAAATATGATAAATTCCATAAGAAGTCATATAGTATGTTACACCTTCTCACATCGTTGAAAATGTGGGAAGATAAAAATCGAAAATGTGAGAAGATAGTAAAGTAAAGAATGACTAACCTTATCAAGATATTGAAATCCATGTTCCTCAGCAACCTGCTGCGCCACTTCCGGTCCTCCCTCGATATGCACTGCCCATTGATTAGTATAGGCAGCCCCGTATCCAGCCAGAGTCACCATTGCGACGATGGCCAGTCCAAAAATCCTCATCGGGCACATGATAGCTCTTCCTCTGAGCACCCAGCTGCGGCTCCAGTTTCCCGCTCACTATTCACTATCCACAAGCCACGTAGGCGTTAACAACGATAACAGGAACAACGACAACAAACAACGGCACGGCACACCCACCCGCGATCAAACACTCCGAAAGCAAGTTTAAATGGGACGATAACGTAGCGAGGTGACGAGAGGTAGACAGATAAAGAAACAAGAGAACAAAGAAAGAAAGGAAAAAAAGAGCGCCTCGCACCTGGTGACCGACCGTTGTCGACTGAACCACCAGGGAGCCGTGTCACTAGTTAAGTAACCTCCACTCAACCGACCGATTAGCTTCTTCTTTCGTGCACATCCACGTGCCGCGTCCCCGTCGTCGTCGTCGTCGTCGTCGTTGCTCGTCGTCGTGGTGCTGGCCGTCACGTTTCTCTGCCACTGTCGCCGCCGACGAGCAGCGGATGGTGGGGCGATCGTCAAGTCATGTGGCCGACGGTGGTGGGGAAGATCGTCGCGATCCTCGCGATACCGAACCTGCACCACACGCGTGGCGATCAACGGCAACCTTCACGCCCCCTCCGGGATCCCCTCATCCGTGGGGGATAAGATCTTCGACCTCGACCTTCGAGATCGCCAATACTTCAACGCTTCTTCCTCTGACGTCAAAATGATCTTACAATTGTTCTGACTCAACTTCTAGTCACCTGCTGTCTTCAGAATACAGCTGTTCAGACTAGGCTCTCCACCATCTTGTTGACTAGTCAAAGCCTTCTTGTCAAGGATGCCTCAACTCACACCCAGTGATGAGATTAATGATGTGGTGCACAACCTGTCAACTTGAAGTGTCTTCGTTTATCCAAAGATGCAGTTGACTCAACTAGGCGTACAATGACCAATCAACTTGAGTCTCCGTAAACAGCAGCTCAACTTAGAGCTTGAAGCTGTCTTCCTAATGAATGTTTGATCTTCGCACAATAGTCAGCTCAACTTCAAACCCAGCTCAACCTGGATCTCAACTTTTAACCTTGAGAGCTTTTCAGCAAGTCAGTTAGCCCAACTAGTTAAACAAGTTCCACAAGAACTCAAAATGTCACAAGTTCCATAAGAACCCAAAATGTGAGAAGTTCAATAAGCACCTAAAATGTGATAAGTTCCATAAAAATCCAAACTGTGATAAGTTCCATAAGAACCCAAAATATGATAAATTCCATAAGAAGTCATATAGTATGTTACACCTTCTCACATCGTTGAAAATGTGGGAAGATAAAAATCGAAAATGTGAGAAGATAGTAAAGTAAAGAATGACTAACCTTATCAAGATATTGAAATCCATGTTCCTCAGCAACCTGCTGCGCCACTTCCGGTCCTCCCTCGATATGCACTGCCCATTGATTAGTATAGGCAGCCCCGTATCCAGCCAGAGTCACCATTGCGACGATGGCCAGTCCAAAAATCCTCATCGGGCACATGATAGCTCTTCCTCTGAGCACCCAGCTGCGGCTCCAGTTTCCCGCTCACTATTCACTATCCACAAGCCACGTAGGCGTTAACAACGATAACAGGAACAACGACAACAAACAACGGCACGGCACACCCACCCGCGATCAAACACTCCGAAAGCAAGTTTAAATGGGACGATAACGTAGCGAGGTGACGAGAGGTAGACAGATAAAGAAACAAGAGAACAAAGAAAGAAAGGAAAAAAAGAGCGCCTCGCACCTGGTGACCGACCGTTGTCGACTGAACCACCAGGGAGCCGTGTCACTAGTTAAGTAACCTCCACTCAACCGACCGATTAGCTTCTTCTTTCGTGCACATCCACGTGCCGCGTCCCCGTCGTCGTCGTCGTCGTCGTCGTTGCTCGTCGTCGTGGTGCTGGCCGTCACGTTTCTCTGCCACTGTCGCCGCCGACGAGCAGCGGATGGTGGGGCGATCGTCAAGTCATGTGGCCGACGGTGGTGGGGAAGATCGTCGCGATCCTCGCGATACCGAACCTGCACCACACGCGTGGCGATCAACGGCAACCTTCACGCCCCCTCCGGGATCCCCTCATCCGTGGGGGATAAGATCTTCGACCTCGACCTTCGAGATCGCCAATACTTCAACGCTTCTTCCTCTGACGTCAAAATGATCTTACAATTGTTCTGACTCAACTTCTAGTCACCTGCTGTCTTCAGAATACAGCTGTTCAGACTAGGCTCTCCACCATCTTGTTGACTAGTCAAAGCCTTCTTGTCAAGGATGCCTCAACTCACACCCAGTGATGAGATTAATGATGTGGTGCACAACCTGTCAACTTGAAGTGTCTTCGTTTATCCAAAGATGCAGTTGACTCAACTAGGCGTACAATGACCAATCAACTTGAGTCTCCGTAAACAGCAGCTCAACTTAGAGCTTGAAGCTGTCTTCCTAATGAATGTTTGATCTTCGCACAATAGTCAGCTCAACTTCAAACCCAGCTCAACCTGGATCTCAACTTTTAACCTTGAGAGCTTTTCAGCAAGTCAGTTAGCCCAACTAGTTAACTAGAATTTAACTAGTGAACTAATGAACTCGAAGAGTATTACCGAGCGATGTTAATCGACCTGTAGGAGGCACAAAGTCCGAACCGATAGCGATACGAGTCTCTTGAACGGTACACGAACAACATTTGGATGATGATTAGAGGAACTAGACGGATAGCCGTGTAAAGATTGTTGCGCGAGAAGCGAAGCCAAATGGCTGGCCAGCCATTCAGCCGGCGGCAACAGTTATCGACCGAAAAGTCGGTCGATTCACGTCATCGACCAGTGCATCCTCCACGTTTCGTTGGCTGCATGCTTAGGAAAATCCGTCGATGACGCGGACGACTCGGGGTTCGTTCTTCGCTTTCTAGCTCATCTCCGCCCGGCCAACGCCGATCTGAAAACCGTTCCGAGAATTGAGGATCAGATATTTTTGGTGGACGAAGGGGCTTGATTAATCGATGTTGCTTCTTGGATGTGGAGGAGCTTGCAGGAGCGATGAACTTTTGGTAATTGAGGACGCGGATGCTGATGAGGCTGGTTCAGGTAGGATCAGATTTGATCTGGATAAAATTTAGCTGTGTTTATACCGATTTCACGTAATTTAGGAAAGTATAAGCTTCATTTTTGAGTACAGGAATCAGATCTGATTTTAATAAGGATGTGGACGTATTTGGTGCAAATTCGTGCGAATTTTTTCTTTGAGCTATTTAATTCGAAGGTATTCAAATTCTTAGGTAATGTAGCTCCTTTTGCATTTGTAAATTTCTGTATACCTTAGATTTCTAAGCTCAGATCTCTGTATCTTCAAATTCCTATTTCCCAAGGTTCTTTCATCCCCAAGTTCCTATAACTTCAGATTCTTATATCCCTAAATTTCTATGAACCTATACTCCTATATTCTCTAAATCCCTGTATCGTATATTCTTGTATATCTGGATCATACCCTAGCTTTCTATAATCTGATCCCTATATCTCCAGATTCTGAATGTATACTTCTCCATAGTCCAATCTAGACTCCAGAGCCTTTCAGAACCCTATCTCCTCAAATGTCCTCAGGTTTCTATAACCATATCTCTTCTATCTCTAAATCCTTGCACTCCAAGTGCTTCCACGAGTCCTACTCTTCAAATGTCCCTAGATTTCTATGGTCAAACCTCTTATATAAAATCCTTGTTCTTCAAATCTTCCAAATCTTTAGTACCTAATATTCCTGCAACCATACCTCACTAAATCCCTAGATTCCTATGAATGTATATTTCTCTATAATTCAATCTTGGTGACATCTGATACTTTCAGAACCCTATCTCCTCAAATATCCCCAGATTTCTATGACCATATCTCTTGTATCTCTATATCCTTGCACTCCAAGTGCTTTCACGAGTCCTACTCTTCAAATGTCCCTAGATTTCTATGGTCAAACCTCTTATATAAAATCCTTGTTCTTCAAATCTTCCAAATCTTTAGTACCTAATATTCCTGCAACCATACCTCACTATATTCCTAGATTCCTATGAATGTATATTTCTCTATAATTCAATCTAGGTGACATCTGATTCTTTCAGAACCCTATCTCCTCAAATATCCCTAGATTTCTATGACCATATCTCTTTTATCTCTATATCCTTGCACTCCAAGTGCTACCACGAGTCCTACTCTTCAAATGTGCCTAGATTTCTATGGTCAAACTTCTTATATCCCTAGATTCTTGTACTCCAAATCTTCCAAACCTTTAGTACCTAATATTCCTGCAACCATACCTCACTATATTCGTAGATTCCTATGAATGTATATTTCTCTATAATCCAATCTATGTGACTCCAGATTCTTGCAGAACCCTATCTCCTTAAATATGCCTAGATTTCTATGACCATATCTCTTGTATCCCTAGAACCTTGCACTCCTAATACTTCCACGAGTCCTACACTTCAAATGTCCCTAGATTTCTATCATTATATCTCTTATGTCCCTATATCCTTATACACCAAATCCTCCAAATTCTCCAAATCCTCCAAATACACCAAATACACCAAACACACCAAATCCTCCAAATCCTCCAAATACACCAAATACACCAAATCCTCCAAATACTCTAAATCCTCCAAATCTTCCAAATCCTTCAAATCCTCCAAATACACCAAATCTTCCAAATACACCAAATCCTCCAAATACTCTAAATCCTCCAAATCTTCCAAATCCTCCAAATCCTCCAAATACACCAAAACCTCCAAATACACCAAATCCTTCAAATCCTCCAAAACCTCGAAATCCTCCAAATACTCCAAATCGTCCAAATCCTCCAAATCCTTAATAGCTAATATTCTTGCAACGATACCTCCATATCCCTAGATTCCTATATCTTCAAATTCTTGTCAACAAAAGTAACCATCAATTACAGAATACGATACAATTTTTGTCCAAGAAAATGGCCGCCCAATTACAGTAAATGCATATCAAAGATAAAACATATTTACACGAATTAAGAGAGATTACTCCGGGATGGATTAACGATGGAATCTTTCGCGGAAAATAACGAACTTGCGTGCAAGATATTTGCAAGCAATAAAACAATAACAGATTAAACGAGACAATAATTGTCGGCGAACAATTAGCAGAAATCGTGTATGCGCGATTATGCAATTCGAAACGAAATTTCGCAGATATCGGTGCATTAAAGCGTAGGAGATTCCGTGTGTGTTTTTTCTCTGAGGACAAAGTGTAAGCAAGCTCGAGCGTAATTAAAAACAATCTCGACATGAATATTCCGGTTGGCCGGCGAGCACAATTGCCGAGGCGAGGAATAAACCGAACCATTTGCCTTTGCATTCCCTTTGCAGAAATTACGCATAACCATAAAGTGCTACGAGTCACGATCGAGGTTTAATTACAGCCCGCCGAAGTAAACGAGAAACAACTGAGACATCAACGTGAAATCCTTGTTTGCATATCAACGAAGATGCAACGAGGAGCGTACGTCTGCTAGGCGTTCTGGTTGGTAGACGCTTTTATCAGCGGTACCGATAGAATCCTGCGATTTCCAATCAATCGTGTTTACCATTAATATTTCACTATCTGTGCCATCGGATTTCTATATTCGTGGATTGTAACGTCTGTGAATTACTAGTTGTGCTTGTAAAAATTCCTGTATCGTACGTAGAGGTACAGTAGATATGGAGATGTGTTTCAAATTTATTCATATGTTTACACATATGTTCACATATGTACACCTTCAGATTTTTATAAACGTGTGTGTACATTTTACAATCTTTGAGTAGACTCTAAAACATGTATGTAAATAGATATGTGTCACCAGAGATGTGTTTCAAATTTGTACACATATGTACACATATGTTCACATATGTACATTTTCAAATTTCTATAGACATATATGTACATTCCACAATTTCTAAACATACTCTACAACATATATATGTGTATGCATAGACATATGTCACCAGAGATGTGTTTCAAACTTGTATATACATGTACACATATCATCACATATGAACATCTTCAGATTTCTATGAATGTATGTGTACATTTCGCAATTGCTAAACAAACTCTAAAATATATATGTGTATGTATAGATATACATGTCATCAGAAATGTGTCTCAAATTTGTACACATATGTACACATATGTCCACATATGAACATCTTAAAATTTCTATAAATATATGTGTACATTTCACAATCCCTAAACAAATTTTATAACATATATATGGTATCAGAGATATATTTCAAATTTGTACACATGTGTACATCACATAAGAAGATCATCAAATTTCTATAAAAATATGTGTATATCCCAAAATTCTCAAACAAACTCTACCTCTATATAAACTACATAAATACCTAGATCAAGTCCTAGATTAACTCCTAAATAAACTTCTAGCTAAATTCTTAGATGAATTCCTAGAGAAACTCCTACAAAAATACTCCTATAAACGTGTCTTAGGAATAATAAGTAAAATATTCCATTAAAAGTGATGGATCGAAACCGAATTGCAAATGTAGGAACACAATACTGTAAAATTGCATTTGTTACTAAAAAATTGATATCGTATCGTATAAAGGTGTATATCCACCCTCAAAAAGAGCAATTGGTATCAGTGTTACAGGGGAAGCGCAATTTCCTCAGGGAACCCGGTCACCATTCCAAGGAATTGTAACTGTCTGACCAACTGAAGTGTAGCTCCACGTTTTTCAGCAAACTCAATTGTTCAACTTTTGTAAAACCAGTCGGATACAGACTGAAAAATCACCACGACGTTGTTTACGATATTTGTCAAAGTTTAATCTAATTTATTTGAAACTGCAGAAAGTTTGAACAGTGAAAATTTAAAATTATTTTGCTTTGTACAAATCGGGACAAAAATTAGTACAAATTACTAAAATAAATTATTGGGACAAATTATTACCACAAATTATTGTCATACATCAATTTATTGTTTTTGTAGGAAATTATATTATTAGCTTTGTTTAAATTGAATTATAAATTACTTCATTAAATTAGGTTTTATTTATATATGAAATTTGGTTATTCAAATTTTTATAGAAAATTCTAAATTATTAGCTCTGTTAAATTAAATTTAACAATTCATTTAATTAGGTTTTATTAGTACATGAAATTTAATTAATCAAATTTCTATAGAAAATCACGAAAATATTTGCTGTTTGTTAAATTAAAATATAGGAGACCCCATTTAATAAAGAATTATCAATACATGAAATTTGGTTCGTCAATATTTTGTAGAAATATACGCAATTGTTTGCTTTGTTTATTGAATTAAATTCTGCAGTAATGAATCAAATATAATTAGTCGAAATTTGATTATTCAAATTTTTGCAGAAAATTACAAAATTATGAAATTCATTTAATTATAATCTGTATAATAATTATTCAAAATTTTGTAACAAAGCACGAAATTATTATTCATTAAATTAAATGGTAGATTAACTTATTAATTAATTATAACCAGCATATGAAGGTTTTAAGAAACCACGAAATTATTTGGATTATTAATTGCAGGTCAATTAATGATTTCAGGCAACAATTAAAATGGTCTGAAAATAAATTTGTACAAGGTGACAATTACAGTAATTATTTCAGAAGTGCTATTATAATAATTAAACTTGTTACATATAATTATTGCACTCACTATAAATGACTATTATTAAAGTTATTATAGTGAGTACTCAAAGACTAAAAATAGATCACTTAATAATTCACAGGTAGGCAGTCTAAAAATAAATTTACACAAGGTGACAATCACTGTAATTTCAGAACTGTTATAATAATTAAACTTGTTATGAATAATATACTGACTATTAAATTATTTTGGTATTTGTCAGAAAATCTTCCTTAAATTCAAAGTCCAGTTATTATTAATTAATC